CGGTGAATATCCATATGGGACGCTGTGAATAGCATCATCTAACAGATACCGCTTGTCGTCAACTGGTGTCAATGCCACTTTGCTTTGTCTCTCAGTGTACAAAGTGTTATTGTGTGATCGAATCAAATGAAAGGAACAACTGAACCTCTTCTGATCAAATAATGATTGTTTATACATATCATGTCTGAGAAATTTCTTGATGACAGATTTCTTAATGCCTTTGGCTGTCTTTTTTTCGATGACGTTTTTTTATTTTTGCATCAGGAAAAGAGTACATTTTGCTTTTTAACCCTACAAACTCTAATATGATGCTCCCACCTGCTTCATCCTTCATTTTACCAGTCACCTAGCGATGTTTATCCGAATATAACCCTTTGAGGTCATCAGGGTGCATAGTTTGAAGTGTCAAACAAATGCGAATTGAGTTTCATGAACACATAAGGATCCAAAAGGAGCTCATGTGGAGGTGCATGTACATGCATGAACAAACTGTCCGTGTCCGTCATCAAAAGTCAAGTCTTTCTGGTCCATACTGTCTTTGCATGACATCATAAAAGAAGGAGTAAATTTCATATTTGGCTAAATCCAAGATGGTGAAGCCAACTGCAATGGGCTGATCTAAATGTACGGATAATTTCTCCAACTCTACCACAGTCACGTCTTCTGAAAATATTTTGACCTGCTTGAAGTTACTTTTAGCTGCACATTTTTGAAGTTTGGACCTCTGCGTCACCAACTGAACTGTTTTATGTTTTCGTTTATTCATGCAGAACCGTCCAAACACACAATTGTTCATGAATTTATAACGATCTTTATCACATTCATCCTTGGCATTTTTGCGGTTAGCCAAATTAAGATCAATGTAAGGTTTCAACCATGCTCCTTGTCTAAATTTGAGCACTCTGTGTATTTTTGTACATATCAATCCATGTCTCAGATACAGCTGCAACGTTTTGAAGTGAACCACGTAGTGGGAACGATCTTTCAGAGTAGTGAAAAGTTTTTACCGGACGATTTCTTGGAACGTTTACGCGATGATTTTTTGGCTGGGTTAAAATGTGTTAACAGTTCCTGGTGAGCAGGTGAAAACTCATCGTAGGAGAATATCATCATGTAGGAGCCATTGGAAAAGCGGCATGAGCTTTGTGTAACTGTTTGGGGTACAACAAATCCACTTCAAGGATGTAGCCTGTATCTCCTTGTGTATCTACAGTTGTCCAGTCAATGCTGTCATACTCCTCAGAACTGATGAACTGATAGTTTCCAATGGGGAGGGGTTTTAGCATGACAGTTGCATAGAAGGAGTTAACATCAAAGTAGAGAAGAAAGGAGGTGTCTATCATAGGATCAAAATCTGATAGGTGATGATTGTTAGCAACTGCATATTTCTTGCTAATCATAGACACCCCACCACGAATGGAATTTTCAATAAAATTGTAAGTGTCAACATTCGTGAACAGATCAAGTTTTGCATCTGTGATTTTCATGGCAGCATCCAGACAGAACCCCGGCATGAAGTAATAATGACAAATGTCAAGACCATAGTCTGTCAAACACCCTGTTCTGAAAGTCTCTATGATGTCTGTTAATAGCAGCACATCAACACTCACATACAACCGAACAAAGTCGCTCATGGTTTCACAGTCAAACTCCTTCCATAATTCATGAGCAAAGGCATAGTCTTCCTGGTCAATATTTTCATCACACAAAGAACTGAAGAAGGATTCCTCGGAAGGTACACCAACCTCATTCAATTTTTCCCAGTCATCCATGTATTCATAAGGAAAGGGAAGTTTCCTTGTTAACATGTTTCCATGATGGGGAAAGTGTTCTTTCAAATAGACAAATGAATCTACACCTTTGTTCAATTGGTTTTGAGTCAGTGCATCTAATGAACTTTGCAGAAATTTGTAACTATCCAAAAAGACCAAATTGTTATCTACTGTAAGACAGAAACTGTTCTGAATTGTGAGGGATGACTGTAATGTCTCTGTCGCCAAAGTGTTGTGCTACTTCCAGTATTAAGTGAGAATCATAACGTTCAGAGTTATGAAGCATGACAACCACTTTCTTGCGTAACTGAAAATTCAGGTTACATCTATTATGCAAGACTTGTCGAAAACGTCCTGTCAGGTGGTCATGGTCTAACACTCGGTCAGTACTCAAAAGTTCTCCACACAAACCACAATGAGTAGCATTGGCGATGGTTATCTTATCTTGTTCACACAGTTCCATTGGTTTGATAGAATCCAACAAAGTCTGGATGTTATCATATTCCCTTAAAATACTTTCAATAAAATGTTCAGCCGCCTGTTCTCCTACATAGGTTTGTAAAAGGTTTAGAGTACTGCTCCTCCGTGCACACCACTTTGTAGGCATAAGCACAAGGTACATGCTTATTTAGTCGTGAACTACCTGGGTTGCTTTCTGAATGAGCAAGGACTCAAAATCAGCTATGATAACAAACTTGGCTCTTTCTGTTTTGCTTTGGGAACGTAAGCCAAACTGATACACAGCATCCTTCGGGTTAGGCATAATGACTCTTTGTGCCTTGTCATAACAGTAGTCTTTATGCTTATCCAAGCATTGTTGTGATGTATAACACCAAAGACATTTGCGACAGATGAACTGAGTGCGGTTATTACATTGCTTGTTTCTGACTAACCCACTTAAACTGGTAATGAGACAGTAATGTGTATTTGGTTTAACGTCTATGTTCATGGGTTCATATTCTTCTAACCCTAAGATTCCTTCAAAATCATCTGATTCACTTTCTTGTGAAAGCAACAACAAATCAATCTTTCTGTTTTCATCTACATCTAGCAGATTGCTGATGTACATGGGATACAAAGTATTATCTTCAAATCCATACACATTGATACTCATCTCATTGATTTCTTCAAATCGTGGAATTTGTTTTAAAGTCATGGGAAAAATAAATCCTTCTAAATTCAATCTGTTTAAATAAGGATGATAATGCGCTTCGCGTTCTTTGTTATGAGAAGCCGGAAACAGTTTTGCTAAAATGCTGTAGACAAAACAAAGGTTATCATCATTTTTGATGTTGATAATACTTTTGGATTTCTTAACAAGAGTTTGTGGGAGTGGAATATAACTTCCGCCTTTAAAAGGTTGAAACTTTACCACAGTGAGTTTCAAAAGTACAATAACGGAGATATTCAAACGAGAATGAACCCCCTCGTAATCATCCAGCGTCTGAAGCATCTTGTGCACGGCTTCAAGATACTGTTCATTTAAGTCACTTCCCTTTGTAGCTATAGTCATGGCACTTCTGAAATAAGCCTCATGGTAACTTGTACTATCATCTTCACGATTAGGTTTAACCATTCTTATATGGAGGCACAACCCCCATTTCACTGCTTTTTTCTCACGAATTTCATCCTCAATTGTATCAATAACCTGACTTTGTTCATTGATCATGAAATTCAGTGGATCCGCGCTATTCCGTCCGTCAAAGTCATAGTCTCTAACATCTCCCTGTAAGGACCGTCTCGAACATGATCGTGAGGTGTTATCGGATGGAGGAGGGGTGTTAGGTGGAGGAGAAGTTGGAGGAGGAACAGATACCGTGGCCGTTTTAGTCTTTTTCCTACGTTTACCTTTACCACCACCTGTCATGTCATGGTCAGTTTTATGTTTGTGCATTCTTAATGCTTAAGAGGTTGGGAAAGATTGATGGCATGTTTGACATATATGTTCATCAGCGACAGATGTCGCACAGTAACATGCATGCCATTGATAACTAGATTCACTGCTAAAGTGTTCAAAGCAATGCGGACATTGATGACAATAGACAACATTTTTGGAACAACTTTTGACATGGCGTTTTAAATTGTCTTTCCGATTAAAGGTTCGATGGCAATGGTTGCAGGTAAACAATGTGTTCACTTGTCCACAATGTCTCTGATGTCTTAACAAATGACATTTTTGTTTGAAACAATGACCGCAAATTTCACATTGGAAGACAGGGCATGTAGTTTGCTCAGACATTTTGTTACCCGTAGTTATTCACCTACTAAAAATTTGAATACGATCCACTATTGCATGTTTTTTCTTGAAAACTTCTACTTTGTTTATCTGAAATAATAAAAGTTATGATAGAACGTTTCTAACAATGATATGGTTTAAAATGATAAAAGAAAAAACCAATGATAAAATATTCTGATTGTTACTTACTTGTCTGTTGCTTGCACGTCCGCTGTTAGAAAAAAACAAAACGTCCTAACACTCTTAAGACAAGAATGCTTTCCGCGACTGACTCAACTCTTCTGATGGTCTGTTGAAGTGTGTTTCCAGTTGTACATAACCCTATCATTTTATTCCTCAAAAAAGAGTGCTGCATCACGGTCACTCGCTTCTTTTCTGTAAGTCGGTGTGGGTAGCTCGGTACATGTAGGCGTATTGATAAAACGTGTTTTGGAATGAAAGAGGTGTGTGTCTAGGTTCACGTTTGAAAAGTGACGTGTCAACCTTAGTCACTACTTCTTTTTCTGCAAGTCAGTGAGGTAGGTTGGTAATAGTGGCTAGCTGTGCTTGGACATGACCAGGTACTGCACATTTTGTGCTAAATCATGATGTGTTATAAATACAGCTTTCACCAGAGAACAGTTACGAAGTCTGCTCACTTCTGTCATTGCAGTTCATTCGACTTACCAAGCTGAAATCATGTCTGATTCAGTTAATGTTCAGTTTGCAGACAAACATTTTTTGTCTATCAATTTGTTTAATGGAACTGTGTACATTCACCTTACGAACTGGAATGCTAGACACCAGAGAAAGAGCATATCTATGAAATTAGATGTCTTCAATCAACTTTTGACTGATGCACCTCAGTACGTGCAACAGGCGGAAAATATTGCGCTAACGATGGATGAACTACCAGACATCCCTCCCATCCCGGAAATTGATACACCTGACGAGATTCAACATGAATCAACTACGCTACTGATGCCACCTCCTCTCACACCAACAACAACACCGGATATAGGAATGACCAGCATCCCCACTACACCAATGAAACAAACTGGGAGAGTTACTCCAATGTTTGGGAAAGCAACCACCATCAGAAGCATGCCATATGTTCGTGGTAAGTGATGCATCAGTTGATAATGTACAAATACTAAAATGCTGAAAATTATTCTTTACCGGCAAGCTGTCAAGGAAGTGAGGTAAAATATTGTATGCGTAAGCCATCAAATCAATGAAGTGATACATAACTGTACCGCAAGCTACCAACAGAGTGAAGTGTCCTAAAATATTTTATATCGTAAGCTAACAACTGAGTGAAGTGTCGTAAATTATTTGTATCGTACGCTATCAACTCGATGACGTGTTGTAACTGTACCTCAAACTATTCTGTGCTTGGAAGGTTCTTACCTTGATGTTGTAAAAAATCGCTGTTAACTTTAAGGTGCTATTTAAGTGTCCAATTCTGTCTCCTTGATTTATCTTGATATCATCGTTTTCCATCTAGTGTCTACGTGTTTACTCTCATTAGAGGAAAAATAAACTACTTATTGCTGTAGAGACGTTATCCCTCACTTTCCATTAAGTGATCTAATGTTCATTTATTTATTTTGTTTACAGGTAACAACAGCGCACAAAAGTAAATCAGAAGTGACAGACCCAACTTGTGGAGATTTCTAAAGATAATACAGTCACACCCAATGAATAAATACAAATAACATCCGTATTGTTGTTGTTATCCTTTCACCATGCTTCAAGAACACTAGAATTACGGTTTGCTTAGACGGAGTATTTTACGGACCGTATTTTACGGTGTGGTAGTTAACGTGTCTTGTAAGTGTGTCGCAGTGAGAGTTTGAATCCGATCGGAACCGTTAAGAAGATATCCCCATTTAGATTATAAGACTCTATAAGACTCTTTGACTAAGTTCTGCACAACCAGAGGGGAGGTGTACACGGAGTATATGTTTAAATGTCGTGTTCCTTGGCTGAGAGCAACAGTGTGCGTAGTCACAGGATTATTCAACCCACTCAGGATGACCCACTGCAGCCTACAAACACACGATCTTTCACGATGGTGAGACCGTATACAGCACAGTGAACACATAGGCTTGCTGCCGACAGTGACCTAGTTCTATGTTTAGCTGTATAACATCACAGTGACGCTGGTTGGGGGTAAAAACTAGGTTATACAATTAATGTTAATGTATTACTTCAAGAGTATGCTTGCAAAATATATCAGTCAGTTTGACTTGAACATACCATCACATAGACAACGTGATCAAACCAGGAGACCGAAACGCATGACTTGCACGGTTTGGGGATACCATTCCGCTCAACGCAAACAACATCAAACAAATCATTTTTTGCTTGAATGAAAGGTTAATTCGAGTTATTTCCTATTATACCATAAACATTTTGATTGACCGTTTTCAATCAACCAATGAAATACGACCCACGTACACGCGCGAGAATAATGCACGTGAAAACAGCAACAATGTAACACACATGATGTTCAAAGATCAAAGACAGTGGCGACACACAGTCTCGTGTCGGCGACAAGAAAGGAATGTGGAGTGAGGGATATTGCCCGTACACATTCTGGTTAAACACAAAAACGATTTTCATACCTTACAAACAAGAGGAAACTTTCATTAAAAAGTACGTCAATCTCCGACTTCGTCAAGATAAATGTTAAACCTCCGTGGCACAATAGGACAACACCAGAAAAATGTTTTGAAAAATTTGGAAAGAATTTTTTAAAATTTATACCAATAGTGACAACCTCACTTTACTCTTTGCCCGTTTCCAAATATTTTCCTAAATAATTATAAACGATTTCGGCAGAAAATTTATTTCAGATAATAGTTTCAAATGGTGATGTTTTTTCCGAAATTTTCAAACTCCACTCACCATCCGAATGATAAATTATATCAATACTATTCATTGCTGGTGTGTACCCTGTCGTAAGTGGGTAAGTCTGATGAGGGGCATGTGTGTGTGTGTGTGTGTGTGTGTGTGTGTGTGTGTGTGTGTGTGTGTGTGTGTGTGTGTGTGTGTGTGTGTGTGCATGCACACGTCGCGAACAATGGCTGTGTGAGTTGGGTGATCACGTGTTTCCTCGGAGAAACGTCTCGCAAGCACCATTCATATATCGTTTTAGATTACTTCACAGAATAACGACAGATATGCTGCCCATCTTAATAAGACATTATGATGCTAGTAGTACTCATTTTAAACGTACATATATTTTAAAACTTGTGCAGAATAAGTTTTAAGTTACATTAGTTAAACAATGTGTTTAGGTACGATATGGATGAGATATCGACAAAGGAACTTTAAATCTTAACACATTATAAAGTAATACGCATGATTTTATTTAAATGTTGACGGTAACCTGTTAAACATATTAACCCTAAGTTCACAGAGGTATTTTCACGCATCTTAGCAATAATAGTATATAGCAATAACTATGAAATTTATCCTACACTTTGTGAAATTTCTCGTTCTCAGTAGAAATTTTAATAGTTGTTCACACTCGCCTAGTATACGGTACACAAGATCATTATCTGAGCGGTTTATTACTCCTATCAAGATGTATAAATATGTGAATATCACCCTTTGTTCAAGACAATCTTATGAACATAATTATAAACCACCCATCAGACAGATAAAGTAATCTGTATCACATGATAGATAATACGTGATTGTGATAACATATGTGATGATCGAAGTTGATGCAAAGTACTTGCGTTAGGGTTCTACAGCTTTTCAACAGATCACTAATCACGCGGCTTAAAATTTATTGTTAGCAACAAAATCTCCTCAGTTTGCTAGTGAACTCACTATCGCATATGTATATAAAGACAATGTACGTTCCAAACGAATACAATTCTCGTTTTAGCCTAACTGCTATAATTCTATCTAACGACCTATCACTTGATACAGCACTCACATAAGAACAAATTTCAATAAGAGTGGAAACATTGAGGATACCTGTACATGATAGTCCTTTTGATGAGGTAAAGTGCACAAAATGATTAAACAAAAAGAGATAGAGTACTGAAACATCTACTCTATATAAATAATGAATATACTCACCTTCTATAAGTTATCTTTAAATTCTGTCTTTGAACCGGTGGAACTCCACAATAGCATCGGCTTTAATCAGATATTCAACAATAGTTTTCTATGTCATCGATATCCAATATGACAACAGAGCTAGTGTCTGTCTTTTGAATGGAGAGTGATTCAAACAGTCGATCGAAAGTGAAATGAAAGTTTTTATAACAATATTTATGACTCAACAAACAACACGTGGTTACGTTGTATGTCTTAGATTTAAAATTTCTAGCTTCTCGGAAAAAGTCGATAAATAACGCTTTTAATTTGGCAACTGTTTCAAAATCTAAAATAAAATCCGATGCGTTATTATTATTTCCAATTTTAAGTTCGTACTCTGTTTTTGTAGCATTAAATGTAACGCGAACACCCATTACATGAAATATTCCAACTAAATCCGTTGCGTACAGTGGTGCGCTTTAAGATGTAAACGAATTTTGCAAACCCTTAAATATGTTAAAAGCTATTGATGATGTGGCACGTATGCATACTTAAAACGAACTGTCGCGGTACTCAACAAATTCTTTTCATCACCAATTCTACTGAAACGTAACAGGAGGGTCTTGTGCATCTCAGTTCTATAGACAGTAATACAAAGCGAACCATCTTGACCAACAGATCAAGCTACTTTGTCAGCACTTTGACACAAGAGGATAATGAGAAAACTGGTGCATGAACGTGATACAGCGTTTCTCTTGCTGATGATAATAAGCAGTGAATTTCAGTGCACGAAATTACTACCACGAGATGGAGTCGATGGACTAGAGCGTGCATGTGTTCTTGAAACAAAATCGCTAGATGTTTGAGTCTATTCTGGAAACTCGCCCCAGCCAAGAACAAACCGAGAAACTTTAACACCTCGCGAGTTTCAATTCGTCTCTCATTTCAATTCACCACCACCTGTGTAGATGTTATCCGCCCGCGAGTGATAGGACAATAACGGCTATGGGTGCCTGATAGAAGTCTAACAATGACAAAGGTTAACCTTGGGTTTTAGATATATAACGAGATAATTCTGTGTGTCAGTCCTCTCATTGTATGATTTGTTGATCTTGGTAAGAGGATTGAACTCAGATAATTATTCAGATGAAGACGAAGTTAGTCAAGTCTTGTCAGTCATCAAATAACACGCCGACACCACCTAGACACCGCCTATGCATCCACTTTCAACATTTACCCCTGAGAATCATCCAGTCACGCTGTCCTTTCATAGCTGTTCCATATATACAGTACACCATGCATTGAGTATCATCCAGTCACGCCACCCTTTCTTAACTGTTCCAATTGTTGTGACACTAAGCAAACCGTAATTCAAATATAGCGGGAAACATCCATTCATGATAAATAATTTTCTCATTAAAATCAATCATTAACTTCTTAATGAAGAAGACATTGTGTATCACTACGCTTAATGAAGCTGGGTGTGGGATTACTAGCACATTACTGTATTGTGAGACTATTTTAGGATGAAATGTGGGATGAGGGATGTGGGATGTCACCCTTTCTTAACTGTTCTATATGAAGCTGGTGTGGGATTACTAGCTCATTACTGTATTGTGAGACTATTTTAGGAAGAAATGTGGGACGTGGGATGTCACCCTTTCTTAACTGTTCTATATGAAGCTGGTGTGGGATTACTAGCTCATTACTGTATGGTAAGACTATTTTAGGAAGAAATGTTGGGTGAGGGATGTCACCTTTTCTTAACTGTTCTATATGAAGCTGGTGTGGGATTACTAGCACATTACTGTATGGTGAGACTATTCTAGGAAGAAATGTGGGATGTGGGATGTGGGATGTCACCCTTTCTTAACTGTTCTATATGAAGCTGGTGTGGGATTACTAGCTCATTACTGTATTGTGAGACTATTTTAGGAAGAAATGTGGGGTGAGGGATGTCACCCTTTCTTAACTGTTCTATATGAAGCTGGTGTGGGATTACTAGCTAATTACTGTATTGTGAGACTATTTTAGGAAGAAATGTGGGATGAGGGATGTCACCCTTTCTTAACTGTTCTATATGAAGCTGGTGTGGGATTACTAGCTCATTACTGTATGGTAAGACTATTTTAGGAAGAAATGTGGGGTGAGAGATGTCACCCTTTCTTAACTGTTCTATATGAAGCTGGTGTGGGATTACTAGCACATTACTGTATTGTGAGACTATTTTAGGAAGAAATGTGGGATGTGGGATGTCACCCTTTCTTAACTGTTCTATATGAAGCTGGTGTTGGATTACTAGCTCATTACTGTATTGTGAGACTATTTTAGGAAGAAATGTGGGGTGAGGGATGTCACCCTTTCTTAACTGTTCTATATGAAGCTGGTGTGGGATTACTAGCTAATTACTGTATTGTGAGACTATTTTAGGATGAAATGTGGGATGTGGGATGTGGGATGTCACCCTTTCTGAACTGTTCTATATGAAGCTGGTGTGGGATTACTAGCACATTACTGTATTGTGAGACTATTTTAGGATGAAATGTGGGATGTGGGATGTGGATGTGTCACCCTTTCTTAACCGTTCTATATGAAGCTGGTGTGGGATTACTAGCTCATTACTGTATGGTAAGACTATTTTAGGAAATAGAATGTATGAG